GAGGCATCACACTGACTTCAAACTATACTGGAAGGCTACAGTGATCAAAACAGCATGGTACTGGTACCAAAACAGAGATATAGACCAATGGAACAGAAAAGAGGCCTTGGAGGCAGTGCCACACATCTACTGCCATTTGATCTTTGACAAATGTGACAAAAACAAGCAATAGGGAAAGGATTCCTTGCTTAATAAGTGGTGTTGGGAAAACTGGCTAGCCATGTGCAGAAAGCAGAAACTGGACCCCTTCCTGACACCTTACACCAAAATTAACTGCAGATAGATTGAAGACTTAAACATAAGAACTAACACCATAAAAACCTTAGAAGAAAACCTAGGCAAAACCATTCAGGACACAGGCATAGGCAAGGACTTCATGACTAAAACACCAAAAGCATTGGAATAAAAGCCAAAATAGACAAATGGGATCTAATTAAACTCCAGAGCTTCTGCACAGCAAAAGAAACACTCATTGGAGTGAACTGGCAACCAACAGAATGGGAAAATTTTTTTGCAATCTACCCATCTGATAAAGGACTTATACCCAGAATCTACAAAGAACTAAAACAGATTTACAAGAAAACAAACAAACAAACGCATTCCAAAGTGGGAAAAGGATATGAACAGACACTTTTCAAAAGAAGACATATATGAGGTCAACAAACATGAAAAATGCTCATCATCACTGGTCATTAGAGAAATGCAAATCAAAACTACACTGAGATACCATCTCACGCCAGTTAGAATGGTGATCATTAAAAAATCTGGAGACAACAGATGCTGGAGAGGATGTGGAGAAATAGGAACACTTTTACACTGTTGGTGGGAGTGTAAATTAGCTCAACCATTGTGGAAGACAATGTGGCGATTCCCCGAGGACCTAGAAATAGAAATTCCATTTGACCCAGCAATCCCATTACTGGGTATATATCAAAAGGATTATAAATCATTCTATTATAAGGACACATGCACCTGAATGTTCACTGCAGCACTGTTTACAATATCAAAGACCTGGAACCAACCCAAATGCCCATAGATGATAGACTGGACAAGGAAAATGTGGCACATACACACCATGGAATATTATGTGGCCATAAAGAACGATGAGTTCATGTCCTTGTAGGGACATGGATCAACCTGGAAACCATCATTCTCGGCAAACTGACACAAGAACAGAAAATCAAACACCGCATGTTCTCACTTACAGGCAGGTGTTGAACAATGAGAACACATGGAAACAGGGAAGGTAGCATCGCTCACTGAGGTCTGTTGGGGAGGACTAGGGGAGGGACAGTGGTGGGGAGGGATAACGTGGGGAGAAATGCCAGATATAGGTGACAGGGATGGAGGCTGCAAACCACATTGCCTTGTATGTACCTATACAACAATTCTGCATGTTCTTCACATGTACCCCAAAACCTAAAATGCAATATATATATACATATATATACATATATATATAAAAGAATTTCATTGTAATGTTATCATTGCATCAAACCAAATCTATCTCCAAGTTCCCATTCCACTGTCTTGGTGGACAATTTAATTTCAGTTATTACTGACCTCCCACTCTCCTGCCTCACGTATCCAGAATTGTGCAAAGGTCCTAGGAGTTTCGTAAAGAGCAGAACATTTAGAAAGACCAGTCAAGTGTCCAAGACACATTGGTTACTACTGAGCTGCCAGCTTTTCAAGTCTCCAGTGGAATTCACACATTCGCTCTGTCACTAACAAACATTAGTAAGCACTTATCACACTCCATGCTCTGTTCAAGACACTGGAAATAAAGAAACAGGAAGATAGGACTGCCGCCTTCCCAGAGACTCCCAAGTTCCTTTCTCAGGCCAGGAACTCTTTGTGCAACTGACAGTTCAGGTGGCTCTGGTGCAGTCTCCCAGGCGTGCAACACAGCCATTTCCTCCCTTTTCATTCACCCTGCCAGAAGCCTGGCTCCCTCTATAGGGTATCTCTCTCACAGTTTCTTCTTCCATCCAAGCATCAGTCCTGGAAACTCAGGCTTTCAGAATACAAAAGGCAGGAACGTTAGGTAACATAAAACTCTGCTGAAACAAAGGAGTTCAAGGGACCTCGCTGCCTTCTTGGAATGGAGAGTGAAGGGTGAGAATAGAGAGGAAGGGACAAGTAACATCAAGGAAAAGAAACACACACACACACACGCACGCACGCACGCACGCACGCACACACACACATTTATGTTATACTTTCACATGTAAATGCCTTTTCCTAGAAAGCAATCAAGCTGTTTTCATTTTGAACAACCAAACAAGATGTGATCTGAAAATATTTTTATTTTCCTGAATTACACTTTGTACCAAAACATTCACCACTACCTTAAGGTATTACACCTAGCACAGTACCTGGCACATGACAGGTGAGATGGATGGACGAATGGATGGCTAAAATAATTCTTTTCTTTTTTATAAGCTGTACATCTAATATGGAGAATATGAAAAACCACCTGAGTATGGCCATCCACTCTGAGACATCTTTAGAATAGATGAGGCTATACTTAGGGTATGCACACTATAAGATAAAATAATGTCAATGTATTTTACAATGGAGAAGCATGGTGGCGAAATTCTTGCATCAAGATGTGAAAATATAATACAATTTTAAAAACCTATAGTAGTTCAATTTTCCTGGTCATTTTTATTTCATTTAGTATTTAGCAGAACAAGGACTAACATACAATTAAGTATTGCCTCTATAACATATTAACCATATATCCTTGGGGAGCTATATTCAGTTTTTTCACCTTTAAAATGGAGAGAATCTTATCTATTATTACACAGAGTTAAGTGTGAAAAGAGATAGTTTGGGAAAACACCATCATGACAGGCCTACTGCAGACCCTCAAGAAATGTCTGAAACACACACAAATACACACATGTAAGCATGTACATATGCACTTCTAGCTTGAAGGTCTCATATATATGTGTATGTGTATATATGTATGTATACACACATACACACATTATATAAACATATATATACACATACCATATATAGTCACAAAATTTGAAGAAAACAGTGAAAATTTTCCATCATCCTGTTAATCTCAACAAAAAGGAGAGGAATTATACTGATGTTCAGAATTCCATATTCTTTACACCCTTAATGTTGATCTCTCAAAGCTTTCTAGAAATGATAATCTAAGGTGCAGTCCCTTACAGTACCAAGCTACATATTTTTATGCTTGGAGATCTCCATGAACTGGCTAAATATGTGAATCATATTTGGAATCTAGGTAGAGATTGAACAGCCCAAAATCTTTCTTTCCAGAAACAACCCAGCCTGTGTGGGCAGCTTCTCAAATCTAGTTAGCACAAAATTTGTTTTCAACAAGAAAATAAATGAGTTCCAAAGCAGTAGAAAATGCATAAACTTATAAAAAGCTGGATTTGCATTTTAAAGTCAAGTAACATTTCTTTTTTCTTCTATTAAGTACTCATAAATTTATACTCCTCTACCTGTTCATAGAGAGGTCGCCATTCTAAACTACAGAACAGTTAACATCATATACAAACAAACACATCTTTACTAAGATCTGGTAAAAAATAGTGCCTTACTAATCTTTAGTAATTAAATTTTCATGTAAGTTTATTTTAGTGCCCCTCCTTAAATTTAAGTTCATCTCTAGCACTTGCATGGAAGCCAACTTTTATCATTTATTGGAAAAAACCTTTAAACCCTTTGAGCACTGTACAATCTTTCATCTTTCAAATCACGTGAAATAGTTAAATAATTTTATAACTTTCCATGAAAACTTATTTTCTCTCCAATGTCTAGTAATTTGATTTTTATTCTCCTGTAAAAATTTTTTTCTCTTTTATTCATTAATGCAACATGAAGGGATTCTTCAACCAGAATAAATAGCTGGTCCCCTTATATTTTTTGGTAAAACATTTCCTTAAAAGAAGCCTCATCTTCAGTTTCAGGATCCTTCACCTCAATGTGTTTAAATCATGTACTGAGCATATTCATGAAGGAATTAAATGAATGAACAAACAGCCATCATTGCAGTCTAGTTTCCATTAATATCATGTTGCCTTGTCACTTAATTTCTCCTAAGCTCAGTTGTTCCATGTGTAAGGTGGAAGTAGTAATGATCTCATAAGGTCAAGAGGACAGTATAAATTATTCATAAGAAAATTAGCAAGAAAATGCAATGTCCCAAAACTAGAAGTAGGAAAAAGAAATGCAATGGTTGTTTATGCAATGTTCTTCACATCAAAATCCCTCAAATCCAACACAAGATAAATTATTCGATATTAAAAGAAGAGCTTCATCATGTAGAATTAGAGCTCTGACCTTGAAACATCAACAGTAATGACTTAGTATGTGACACCACATCACCCATCCTCAATGCTAAATATTTAACTTGAGTAAATATGTTGATTCTGATAAAATTCTGAGTGAAAGCTATAAAACAGAAATAAAATACTCTAAGAAGGGCAAACCTTGATTATTCAAAATGCTTAGAAAATGAGGGCCTACTTCTGGCATGCAGCCCATCATCAATGACTCTAGACAGTCATTTTGAAGAAGTTCCTGATTCACCTTGCTGCACCAATATTTCCCTCTTATTACTTCCATTTGAGCTGAGGAATTGTATTTTGGTTTCTTAAAGGGTTTTTTAAAAATTATGATTAATCAAGAAATCTAAAAATTTATGATACTCTGAGGTTTACTAAATATTATAACATGAAATGGATATATAGAACAATATATAGAATGGATAATCTTGCTATAGCTTTTTCAAAAACTCCATTATTATGTGATTTAATTTCCCAAATTAAATCTCATTTTCACTATTGGTACTAGTCTCAAAATCATTTTGCACAGTATCTCTTTCAAGACATCATTTTATTAATATTTTTTTTAAAGTTTGGCATCTAAGGTTTCTAGTTTATTACCCCTCCCAAGTATTATAATAATTTCTTCTCTCATGGAGAATTTAAAATTTGAGTGAAACTTACTTTCTTGTATTGCATTAAGAATCTCTGAAAAGTCCACATCACTCTTTGGCCCGTCAGGTAGTATTTGCATATCCAGCTGGTAGCCTTGCAAATCCACACCTCCTTCTAGAGAAATGAGAGATATTCATGGAGTTTGCACTGGTTATCAGAGAGTCTGTCATTAGGGTTCCATGGAGAAGCTAGGTCAAAATCCAAAGTGAATGGCTAGCTGGTTTGCCAATGAGCCTCCTTCTTAGACAAAGGACTTAAAAAACAAAAAAAGGAATATACACAACCCATTTGCATTTTATGGGACCAAAAAGATTCATTTGTATTTCAAATGCAAAAATAAGGCAACTAGTTTTTTACAAGGCAACATACTTCATAGTATTTACTGATAATTCCCTAGGTAAAAAATATAACATAGTCTCTAGCTAAGGATATTTAACATTATTTTCAGCTTCCACATGGATTAAATGTGACATTAACACAAATACTTTATGATATCATCTTCTTCTTATAATAATTCATTCTTAAGGATGGATTTAATATTCTCAGTATCACAGAAAAAAAGGTATTAGTACTTTGTTCCTCATAATTAGACTTCCCTGATTCATCATTTATTTTTCAACTATATTTGAATTTGAAAATTTATTCTATGAAGTAATTAAGCCTCTTGTTCTAGGTTTGTCTGATCTATTTTTGGCATGTTCCAAAGAAAGAAAGTTTTTATGCTGCTCTACACACCTATAGAACATTTAAGGAAGTCAAAGAAACCAAGGTACCAAAAAGTAGCTTTATCATCAACAATAATAAAACTTCTAAAAGCTTCTTAAAGTAATTAGTAAGAATGTCTCCAACCTGAGAAGGCTGCCAGGGCTAAAAAGCCAGTGCTAAAATAAACAGCCTGATGCATAAAATGGAACATGCCCTAGCTTCCAATATTTTTGTAGAAATAATCCTCTCATAAGGTTAGGAGGTATACTCAGCCTTACACAAAATTTCAGTTATATTCCTAAAGCTCAAGAATAAGATAAGTCACAGCCTCACACGAAATGCTTATTCTAGGAGTAAAACATCTAAAGGTAACTTAATATTCTATTATATTTAATAGAAAATAAGCTGTGGGAAGGCAGGGGCTTTGTCTGCATGCTACAACCCAAGCACTTAGAACAGGACCTGGCACAAAGTAGATTCTCAACAAAGTAGATTCTCAGGCTGAAGGAATGAATGAGGCTATGCAGTAATTACAAAACCAAAACAGTAAAGCTAAGAGCAAAGCTACAAGCTCAGATTCTGGAGTCAGAGAGACCAACATTGAAATTCTTTTCAGTAACGCTGAACTTCTCTAAATTTTAGTTTCCTCCTTTATGAAATAGGGATGATGGTAACGGCCTCACAGAGCAGCCGCTAGGATTAAATGAGATAATCCACAAGAACCTGAACTGTCAGGTCGTCAGCACTCAATAAATAGAAGCCACAGGTATTATTATTACAATACATTGTAATTTATTAAAGGAACACTGGCATTCATAGAGAGACAGAATAGGTATTAAACAATGTGAATAATAGGTCAGTTCCTTGAGACCGCAGTATGCATTTTGGTGACTGTCAGGCACTGCTATTTAACATTGTAGCTACAGTAGTGAACTTTTCAGATTCACTAACGCAGTTCTCTCATTGCAAAATCTGAAGCTACCTATGAGAGAGTTTCTTAGACAGGACAGACAAAGATGCCTTCCTGCTGGCCCAGAATTAAGATGGGTTATTTGCCTTTTTCTTCCACGGCCAGTTACTTCACATGGAAAAGGAAAAGTTCTGATGCTTTTCAATTTGGACTAAGGCTAGTCACCTTTGTTCTATTTTATGGCCAAGGACCTCATAATTACAACGACAAGAAAAATAACAAGAATATTCAACATCAGCCTGGCTCTGGGCTATGTACTTTATGATATCATTTAGTCTTTAATCTTGAAAAGAAGGTGTAATGCAATGTAGTAATTTGCCCAAAGTCACACAGCTACTAAGTGTAAAGATGTAATTGCAATCCATGCTCTTAACTAGTCTTTAAAATCACCCATATAGAAGCAGTCACAAACACAGGCTGTTGGAGATAAGAGAACTGGATCTGCCAAATAAATTCAACATAACCCAGTAGAATGATCCTGTGTTCTAATTCTTCAAATCAAGACAAAAGCTATTACATAAGCTAAAAAAGAAAGTGACTTCCTAAATAGACTAATAAACAGAAGCCCAATTTATTTGTTGTTTGTCATAGGCAGGGGCTCATAAACTCAGATAGAAATAGCTATTATTAGTAGATCACTATAATTTTTAATAACAAGGATTCCAAAAACCTTTAATAAGTTTTTTTTTAACATTAGAGGAGAGTATAGAAGGATAAGACACAAAAGAAGCACCATAAAGGAGGCATACAGGTCATTATTCTGTCTTTAAAGAATATTTACGCTGGGCATGGTGGCTCACGCCTGTAATCCCAGCACTTTGGGAGGCCAAAGCAGGCAAATCGCAAGGTCAGGAGATTGAGACCAGCCTGGCCAACATGGTGAAACCCTGTCTCTAATAAAAAAATACAAAAAATTAGCTGGGTGTGGTGGTGGGCACCTGTAATCCCAGCTACTCAGGAGGCTGAAGCAGGAGAACCCAGGAGGTGGAGGTTGCAGTGAGCCAAGATTGCACCACTGCACTCCAGTCCAGGTGACAGAGTGATCCTCACACCCCGCTCCCTAAAAAGGAATAACTTAATGACATGGACATATGTTTGTTTATAATGAAAATGTAATGAAAATCAATACAAGAATATAGATAGGTAGGTAGGTAGGTAGATAGATAGATAGACAGACATCCCAAGTACAGTCATGCCTCACTTAATAATGCGATGCCTTCTGAGAAATGTATCAGTAGGAGATTTCATCATTGTGCAAACCTCATAGAGTATACTTAAACAAACCTAGTTGGTATAGCCTACCACACACCTAGGTTACATGGTGTAGCCTATTGCTCCTAAGCTACAAACCTGTATAGCATGTTACTGTACTGAATACTGTAGGTAGCTGTAATACAATGGTATTTGTATATCTAAACATAGAAAGGGTACAGTAAAGATACAGTATAAAAGATAAATAATGGTCTCCCTGTAGAAGGCACTTATCATGAATGGAGCTTGCAGGACTGAAAGTTGCTCTGAATGAGTCAGTGAGTGGTGAGTGAATGTGAGGCTTAAAACACTATTGTACATTATTAGACTTTATAAACACTGTATACTTAGGCTACATTAAATTTACTTTAAAATGTTTCTTCAATAATGAGCTAATCTTATGGTAAATTTTTACTTTGTAACCTTTTAGATTTTTTTTTAAACTTTTGACTCTTTTTGTGATAACACTAAGCTTAAAACACATTTTATAGCTCCACAAAAATATTTTCTTTCTTTATATCCTTATTCTATAAAACTTTTTCTATGTTTTAAATTTAAAACCTTTTCAAAAAGTTTTTTGCTAAAAGTGAAGATACAAACACACACATTGGCTTAGGCCTACACAAGGTCAGGATCATCAGTAACACTTACTCCTCATCTTGTTCCACTGGAAGGTATTCAGGGCAATCACATGCATGGAGCTCTCAGCTCCCATGATATAAATGCTCGCTTCTGGAATACCTCCTAAAATACCTGCCTGAAGGTATCTTACAGTTAACTTAAAAAAAATCAGTAAAAGGAGTATACTTTAAAATAACTATAAAAAGCATAGTATAGATAGTATGATACATATAAAAATAAAAAGTATAGTGTATATATAAGCCAGTAACATAGTAGTTTATTATCATCGTCAAGTATTACATACTGTAAATAATTGTATGTACTATATTTTTATACAACTGGCAGCACAGTAGGTTTGTTTACACCAGCGTCACCACAAACACGTGAGTAATATGTTGCACTCTGACATTACAACAGCTGCTAAATCACTAGGCGATAGGACTTTTTCAGCTGCATTATAATCTTAATGGGACCATCATCGTTTATATTGTCTGTCATTGATGAAAAAGTCATCATGCAATGCATGACTGCATATTAAAAAAACATACCCATTTATATGACTAGAAAAACATAACAGGAAGAAAATACTCAAAATGGGTACAGAAGTTGTCTCTCAGCTGTGAAATTATGGGTAGATTTTGTTTCATACTTTATCTTTTTTATGTTTTTTTACAATATGCATAATTTTTTTTTTTTTGAGACAAGGTCTCACTTTATCACCCAGGCTGGAGGTCAGTGGCACGAACACAGCTTACTGCAACCTCAACCTCCTGGGCTCAAGCAATTCTCCCACTTCAGCTCCCAAGTAGCAAGGGCTACAGGTGTACACTACCATGCCTGGCTAATTTGTGAATTTTTTGTAGAGAAAGGGTTTTTCCATGTTTCCCAGGCTGATTTTAAACTCTTGACCACAAGTGATCTGCCTGTCTCAGCCTTCCAAAGTGCTGTGATTACATGTGTGAGCCACTGCACCTGCCCTTAGCATAAAACATTTTTATAACTTTAAAGACATGTAAAAATTCAAGAGCGGGACAGTGGAGGATAATAATTATTTAGAGTCCAGGGTTTACGACTAAAAGCAAATACTGCAGATATAGATGTTAAATATCTAATTTAATATAACAGATTTTCTAAATTTTTTTAAATGTATAAATCCAAAATAGCTTCAAAATGCAACATTCTCTTCATGCTAAATATTATGATCACATATAGAATCTTCCAAATATATGGTGTTTTTCTGTCTCTAGAAGAAATATAGAATACTCTTTTATAGAGTATAATGTAATGGTCTGGAACTTCTGACAATAAGCCCTTCACAAAGTAGAGGGAGCTGTAAAACAAGGACTTCTGTAAGCTTTCCTAAATGGAGAGTGATCAGTGTTCCAATGAATCTTCAAAGATGACAATCTCCACTTTTAACTCATAGTGCCCAAGTGAAAGAGGCTAAATGACTTCAGTGTATAAAAAGTACTATGTCTACTTCATACTTCTGATTTTATTTACTTATTGTTACTCATATAGCTTTTTGACATGATTTCTAAAAATCTAAGAATCTGGGTTCTTTGCC